TCTTCGTTGGATAAGTTGGTCAGGTTGAGTAAATATGAGGATGATAAAAAGCGTGAGAATTGGAAGAACAATTTCAGATACAGCGTTAGAAACCCGTATGTTAAAACCGATGAAGATTTGGATTTATTGACTGATAAGGGTATTTATCCCTATGACTACTTTGATGATTTTGAAAGATTTAAGGAAAGGGCTTTACCACCGAAAGAAGCGTTTTACAGTAAATTAAGTGAGGAACATGTAAGTGATAAAGATTATGAAAGGGCACTGAAAGTATGGAAGCACTTCGGGATTAGAACACTCGGGCAGTATCACGACTTGTATTTAAGAACTGATGTTTTACTACTGACCGATGTATTTGAAAACTTTAGAGACTTGTGTATGGAATACTACGGTTTAGACCCCGCTCATTATTATACGTTGCCAAATTTCGCATGGGACGCGATGCTTCTAAAAACTGGTGTTGAAATAGAACAATTGCATGACCAAGAAATGTTTGAGATGGTTGAAAAGGGAATGAGAGGTGGTATGTGTCAGGTTAGTCATAAATTAGCGGTGGCAAATAATAAGTATATGGGGGAAGCATATGATGAGAACAAGCCATCAAATTATATTAGCTACTTGGATGCTAATAACTTGTATGGTTTAGCAATGTCCCAGAAATTACCGCTAAAAAATATCAAGTGGGCAAAGAAAACGCCCAGTGTTGAAAAATGGAATGAAAACGATGAGTTCGGTTATATTATGGAAGTTGATTTGGAATATCCCGAAACATTGCACGACTTCCACTCTGACTATCCACTAGCGCCTGAAATAATGAATGTAAATGTTAGTATGCTTTCCGATTATCAAAAGCAAGTCTTCAAAATATATTATGATGGTAAAAGTCCCAAGGACGAGAAAACAAGTAAGTTAATATTAAATCTAAAGGATAAAGAAAAATATGTGGTTCATATCAAGACTTTACAGTATTATTTGAAAATGGGAATGAAAATGACCAAAGTCCATAGGATAATAAAATTTCAACAGAGGGCATGGTTGAAACCGTGGATTGATTTTAACACTGGTAAAAGGAAAGAAGCCAAAAGCGATTTTGAGAAAGATTTATTCAAATTAATGAATAATTCTGTGTATGGAAAAACTATGGAAGACAAACGAAATCATATGGACTTTGAATTAGTTGATAATGAAGTTAGATACGAAAAATGTGTTAATAATCCAACATTCAAAAATAGATTTATTATTAATGAAAACCTTGTAGGAGTTGAAAAAACTAAAGCGAAGCTGAAACTGGACAAACCGATTTTCTTAGGAATGACAATCCTTGACATCAGTAAATTACATATGTATCAGTTCTACTATGATGTTCTTAAGAAGAAATACAATGAAAACATCAAACTGGTTTATACTGATACTGACAGTTATGTAATTCAAACATTCACTGAGGACATCTACAAGGACTTCAAAGAATTAAACCAATATATGGACTTTAGCGATTATCCACCTGAACACCCCTGCCATGACAAAACAAATAAGAAAAAACTCGGTTATTTCAAGGATGAGTGCAACGGTCAAACAATAACACAATTCATAGGGTTAAAGCCTAAATCGTATGCTTTTACAATACACGGTGAAGAAGAAGAACAAAAGAAATCAAAAGGTGTAGTGAAACACAAGGTGAAGAAAGAACTGACTTACCAAAACTACCACGAAGCATTATTTCAAAACAAAAAGCATGAAATAACATATAATTTTATTCGTAGTCGCAACCATCAATTATTTTCAATGTCTCAAGTCAAGCAATCACTCAGTAATTATGAAAATAAAAGGTTTTACATTGATGCTTTCAATTCACTGCCTTATGGACATTATAAACTGCGTTAAAGAAAAGATAACTAAGGTTATTAATGGATAGCAGTAAATATAAAAACGCAAAGATTTACAAAATAACAGATGTTGGTTATAATAAGTGCTACATCGGAAGCACCTGTGAAAGCTTGAGCCAAAGAATGGCAAGACATAGACAAAATTATAACAAGGCAGAACAATGGAATAATAAAACAAACTGTCGTTTGTTGTTTGATGAATATGGAATGGACAACTGTAAGATTGAATTATTAGAAGACTACCCATGTGAAAACAGAGAACAGTTAATGAAAAGAGAAGGTTATTACATTCAAAATAATGATTGTGTGAATAGATGTGTGGTAGGTAGAACAATTAATGAGTGGAAGGAAGACAATAAGGAACACTATCAAAATATGAGGAAGGAATACGCAGAAAACAACAAAGAACATATATGTAATAAAAGTAGGGAGCACTACCACCAAAACAAAGAAACAATATTGGAAAAACGAAAAGAACCTATTGAATGTGAATGTGGTGGTGTTTTCAGGAAATGTGATATAAGAAGACACGAGAGAACTGAAAAACATCAACGATATGTATGTGAAAATATTAATATCTAAATAGTTCTAATAATATATGCACTTATTAGAACTATTTAGTGGTACTTCTTCAGTTGGTAAAGTAGCAAAGTCGCTCGGTTATAATGTTATATCATTGGATTTGAAAACGGTGGGAACTCCCCAATTAAGGGGGGCGAACTCCCCAATTAAGGGGGGCGAACTCCCCAATTAAGGGGGGCGAACTCCCCAATTAAGGGGGGCGAACTCCCCAATTAAGGGGGGCGAACTCCCCAATTAAGGGGGGCGAACTCCCCAATTAAGGGGGGCGAACTCCCCAATTAAGGGGAGAATGGCTCAAGTAACAAGGTCTGGCTCACACAACACAGTCAGGCTCACACAACACAGTCAGGCTCACACAGCAAGGTTTGGCTCACACAGTAAGGTCTGGCTCGCACAGCAAGGTCTGGCTCACACAGACATTTAAATTAAACCTGAAACCCAGACCAGCTGACCAGCAACCCCCTAGTCAAAACTACTTAAAGAAAAAATAGCATAACATATTAAGAGAAAAATGAACTATGATGAAATCAACAGTTATATTAATAAGAAATGCTATGATTGTTGCCACTTCAAAAAAGAAAATATGGAATTATACAAATTGAATTTACCTAATGGAATAGTAAATAATATTACTGATTATGCTCTGAGTGAAGAAGATGTATGTAGAACTTGTAGAAGATGGAGACGATATCAAAATATGATAGAAAATTTTTGGAGATTAAAAAAATAGATGAAAGAAATGTTGAAGATGACATTTTGATATTTTTAACTGTGTATGAAATACCACCTCATAGTTATGTTAGAGCATTTCTCAAAATCAGTAAGAACATATGACATGATTGATGATATATTATGGATGTTGGGTTATAGTCAAGAGAAAGGAGAAGATGTTAAAGAAAATATCAAATTATTTATTGAAAGTAAAAAGTTTAATGTTCAAAATACAGTGAGAGATATTAATATTATTTTTAAAATGGTGTATGAAAGAAGTAAGACAAATCAATGAAATTATTATCCTGTATTGGGATTATAATCATACTATAATAATAACATGTAAAATCTTATATGTTATAATTATACTGAACTTTTAACCTATAAACAAAAATTATTGAGAAACATACTAACAAAACAAATGCACCGCCAACACCCCAGAACTTGATAACTACTAAAAGGGCTACCTCTTTCAAATGAAAAAAATGTTTGCCCCTAGCCCAACAATGAACAAGGCGACAATTTACCCAAATGATTACCTTAACGAAAACGATAAATAAGCTCCCTAAAAACCCTCTTTTAAAAACGAATAAGGGGGAACATAGATTTGAGATGAACATAAAAACCATAACAGGCAACCCTCAACAGACTTCCCCCCAGGCCCCCTACTTCTTCTATTTTTTGGGGGGGGGGGGGGGGGGAGAATGTTTTGGAAGAAGCTACTGCGGGATCACAATGGCCTGATGCACTCGCCAAGAGCCCTTGAGGTTTGTTCCAACTGGCTGGCCTGCCAACTCTAATGGCTGTGGATGGGAATTTCAGGGGTTCCAAATTCGCCCGCTTTCGCATTGCATGTTTTGTTTTTTGTTTGTTTCATTGGTTGTCTTTGAATTTGAGTCGGTGTCGATGTTTTTCCGTTCCACATGTTGTTTCCACATCCATTTGCTGGATTGGTAAGTTGTTTTTTCCTTCGTTGGTTTTGTTTACAGTCTCCCATGCTGTTGTTGTTTGTTCAATGGGGGCAACGCAGGGACATAAAGCAATCCCTGGGATATGTATAGAGAGATCATATTTGGTATTACTTCCATTTGTAGGGTTTTTCTGGTTGCATCTTGATATGAAGTATGTACACTTTAAGGGGACACATGTTGCTTTTACTAGTGGCGTTTTGTTTGTTCTAGAGCTATTGGTTGGTTGGTTGGTTGGTTGGTTGGTTGGTTGGTTGGGTGGGTGGGTGGGTGGGTGGGTGGGTTGCTTGTCCGCATCCCCAGCAGCAGCACCGGAGGGGTCCAGGGATGCCTATTCGGCAAAGGGCTGCTATCCAGGCGATGGGTCTGTCGACTTCGTGGTTGGGGTTTGCATGGAGCTGATTCCAGAACCACTCCTAAAGCAACCCAAAAGCTAAGCCAGCCGCACAGCTATCAAGAATCGGCTCCAAGCCAACCCAAGCCCATCTGAAGTTAACCCGAAACCCGCTCAACAGCCGCCTGGATATGCCTCCATGAGCCCCAAACCAACCCAAGCCACCCTCATGAAGATTTCATGTGGCCTGAAACTCCCTAAACAGACCCGAGCAACTCTCAACTGCCACCAAGTCCGATTGAATGAGCAGCCCTAGGTTCGGTCCAAGAGATGCTGGGGATGTTGCCAGCAAGATCGAAGATAGGATCCTGGTCAGCTTCCAGAAACCATTACACTTCGTCCACTTTGCACTGGTGCAGATACCTCCGATTTCCGTGGTTGAGCAAAACGAGCAGCTGGTCTGGTCTGCACTGGAAGTCATGGAAGTCATATGGCCCGCCTCCGCCTTTTGGATGCCTCGAGGACCAGGGCCGGAAGGTGGAGGTGAAGAACGGGCAGCTCCTGGTGGGCGGTGCCTTCCGCTCGGACGTGTCACTGGGGACGCTGGGCTCGCGCTGGAGCGGCTTCGAAAACTACACAGGCGCGGCCGGCCGGTCGGCCGGTCGGGGTCCTAAAGGCGCTGTGTTCGGTGGGGCACCTGCTTTTGGGCTGGTAGGGGAACAAAGGGGCAACCAACTATTTTAGGGGTTTTAAATTTCGAGAGATTTCGGGGCGTCTAAAAGAAAAAACCTTTGTGGGTGGCTTAAAGGGCAACCAAGAACCCAACCACCTGGACAGGTCCCTAGTTTGAGAAGCACCCTACTTTTCTCAGGTCCGAACACAGATGGAAATACCCCAAGTCGACAAACCCCACCCAGAAGTGCAGAAGGGTGGACGCGGCACGTCAAAAGTGACCAACGTCAGAGAAGCCAGGCAGCCAAGCAATGCATGAAATTGGCCCAACCGTGGTTTGGGGCGTTTTGTTTTTGGGAGGATTTTCCGCAGGATTGCCGCAGGATTTCCGCAGACAAGAGAGCTTCCAAAACGCCCAAGCCGGCAGTAGGTGGTTGAGACCCTGGAGCGAGGGTAAATCAGGTTGACTCAAGTCCGAAAATCGGTTTGCATTTGTTTTTCCGGTGGGGTGTTCTGGGTTGAGTTTTTGTTTCAGGGGATGAAGGGACTCCTTCAAAATCAGATTGCCATACTTGGGACGAGGGCCAAACCTCATCACTGCCGCACGCTGGAAGCCTGTTTCCCGCCACTTGCCCTGGTTGCCTTTCTCGCTCGGATCCACTTTCAACACGTGCGCAACTTGTGAACATCTTCGTAAGTGTGAGCCTTTTTTGTATTGTTTGTTTTCATGCAATTTTCCTCTGTCAGACCAAGCCAAATGAAGAGTCATTTGCCTTGCTTTCGCACGTTTTCGACAATTTGTGGCTTCCGTATGCACGTTGTGGGCGGTTTGTGGCTTTGGTCCACGCATTGGAGTGCACAAAGACTGGTCAAATCGATTTGGGTTCAAGGTGACGGGCTTCTTTTGGATTTTGTCATTGCTCCCCAGCTCAGATCTTGTTTGGGTTGAAGGCATTCAAAAGACCAACAAGGGTACTCACTTTGAACCAGCCGCAAGAGAACCAGTGGTCTTGGGCGGTCTCTGGGTCATGAGACGATTCTGCATGCCAGAATGCAGACGCGAGTCCACTGGTAGGTCCTTTCCAGACCACCTTGGACATGTCCCTTTAAAAGCTCTGGTCTCGTATGAAATCCCAACGGTTGGGTGAAGGTTGTTGTGGACGTGAGTGAAATTGGGGTGAAATTTCTAGGGTGAGCTTTGGGTCGGTTCAGAGTCGGGTGCTGGGCCGCAAGGCTACATCTGCTTCCTGGAGGAAGGCCTGGGCAATGATGTGCACATCTCCAGCCACTCCAACTGCCCGTGGAACGCGACTTGGTGTGTAGATGCATGGACTAAATCTTGCAGACCCTGCATATGGTACTCTATATATGCATTTATACGTATATGTATATCTACATGCATATGTCTATGTGTATGTAATATGTATACGTATATATATATATATATACACACACATATGATCCCCACATCCTTACTCGCTGAATATGGGGGGAGGTCCGGGAATGCGAGTGACATGTTTTTGGGCTCCCTCAAAAAAGGAGCAAGGGACCACCCTGCCATCGCCATTTGTTTTGGTGTGTGTGTGTGTATGTGAACAAGGTAATTAGAACCAGGACCGGCAGAAGTTACATTAGCACGGAGAGTGGTTTGTCTAACCTCTATACCCAGAACTCAGTCATTTCGCATGGCCGCCTCTCCATTCGGGTTCCTCCGGGTTGCCCAGCATTGATGGTTTGGATTCGTGGTTTGAGGAATTGACGTCCTGGTTCTTTTGGGCAAATGGGCCACACCAGGAACACCTCCAATTCAAACTGCTTGGCGGGAAGCTGGCTGGACACGTTTGAACTCGGACGCCAGAGGAGTAGGTCCAAAAGTGCCCTCTTTGAGGGGAAACGAGTTGCACTTAGGTTTCTGGTTTTGGGTTTTCTTGAGGCTTTCCTCTGCTTAACAGACTCCTTCGGGTCAGGTGCCCAAGTCCGCGATGCCCAACCCAGCCGTCTACTTGGCCGACGCCTCTCAGGATCGGACCCAAACCTTTTGGTCGGCATCTGAAGGGGGACCAAAGGAAACCAACGAGTTTCAGGGAAACCACGGTCTATTTTTGAGGCTCAAGCTGGACCATCTTTGACTTGGCGGAGGGGGAACCATTAAAGAATGTAAAGAATGGGGCCTGAACTTTGGTTTCACAGAATCCAGAAGGTCCAATCCCTGGAAGGCCATGAGTCCACATCCTTTAGGGGGTCATGTTCACGACTTTTGTAGCTATTCCCTATGAACATGCGTAGCCATAGCTGCAAAGGGGGGAAGGGGGTCCAACAATTCAAGGCCCACCGTTGCTCCACTCCCAAAAGAACTCTGAACCATCCCCTCACGTGCAAAGAGCCACCCCTCCCTTGACTTTTGGGGCCAGAGACCTCCCCGGTTTCGCCTGGGCCCTGCTGGTTTTCTCTTTTCAGGCGGTGCACACAGAGCTGCCGTTCCTCCCGGGCCCTTCCAGCTCGGTACTGCTGCAGAGCTACTCGGGCCCCTGCACCCTGGAGGCGGCTTTCGGGCGAAGTCCCGGGGTTCGGTTGTTTGTCGCGGTTGTGTGTTTTTGTTGTTCTTTGGTTTTGCGGATTATGGCCGGATTTCGGGAGGGTTTTCGTTTCTTGAGATTCGGGGTGGTTTCGAACTGTGTTCGAAGTTGTTTTATACTTTGCTGATGTGTTTTTTAGTTGTTTTCTCTTTTTTTTCCCCTTCTTCTCCGGTTTTTAGATCGCTATTATTGTGGTTTTCGTTTCTGTTGGTATTGGGTGGTCTTAGGATGGTTTTTGTTTTTGTCATTTCGGTTGGTTTTTGGATCGCTTTATTTGTTATGGTTTTTGTTTCTGCAGCTTTTTGGCTGGTTTCGGTTGGTTTTCGCTTTGCAGTTTCGGTTCTTAGATTTTTGGGTTTTTGTTTCTGTTGGCTTTTCGGGTTGATTTCGGTTGGTTTTTGCTTCTTGACATTCCGATGAGGTTGTTTTGTTATAGTTTATGTTTTTGTCGGTACTTGGTTGGTCTTAGGATGGCTTTTGGATGATTGTTGACATTTGTTTCTGTTTGGAATTCCCCAGGAAACGGTTTGGATGCGCCTTTCTGGACTTCACCTGTTCTGCTTGCTGTTGGTCCTTTTTAGTAGTCTTTCAGTACTCTGTCAATATCCCACAGAGGTGGATCCACAAAAGCCACATCCAAACCGTTTTCTGGAGCGCACATCTGACATTGTGAGTGAGTAGTTTTTTTAATTGCTTTTGTTAGGGTGTTTGTTTCTGTTGGTATTTCGTTGGTCTTAGGATTTTGTGCGCTTTTTGACATTTCGACTTGTGTCTAGATCGCTTTTGTTGTATTTACTGTTTCTGTCGGCTTTTGGGTTGTTCTTCGGAGGGTTTTTTTGTTTGACGCATTGGCTTTGAAATTGTTGACTTTGTTGGTTTTTTGTTGGTTGCCAAATGGTTTTCGGATCGTCTTCGCTCTTTGAGACTGGCTGGTGATTGGAACGTCACATTGAAAACACGTTTGAGAATATTTGTGCGCTTTTTGTGCTTATTTTCTTAACCTTTGGATGGTTTTCGTTTTGGTGTCATAGCTGCTGTTAACTCTCGAGATGCTCAAATTTCGACTGGTGTTCTTTGTGCGTAGCTTTGTGTCAATTTGTTTGTTTCTTCTGGGTTTCTTTTGGTTTCGGTTGGTTTCTCGAACATAAACCAAACGGACAGGGAAGACATCTTTGTGTTATTGCCCCTCCGTTGGGTTTGCAGGAAGCACCTGCAAGATGGAACCAAAGCAGGTTCCCCAAAAGGAGATCGTGATCCTAAGCCTGGCAGTTAAGGCCCATCTTGACCTGAGGAGTTTTGGTTGGTGTTCCCGAGTGTTGGAGTCCTCAATCGTACAGGCCTCTCAGTCGAAGTCAATGTTATTGGGTCAACAGAGAGTCCGTATAGGGGCCACAAGCGTAGGATGTTTTTCTTCTCAAGGCAAAGTTGGCAAAATCCTGATTTGGTACGTAAGATGTCCCAAACATTGCGCATAGGCAACACATGGAAGCCGTGTTCACTGGTACCCTGGTACTTCCCACCTACAAGCTATTCAAAAACCATCCGTCATGGCTTGGGCTTGTAAGGCCGATCGAATTGACTTGACTCACCTACAACCCCAATGCGGACCCTGGTTGATTTGAATACACATTCCTCTATTCATCCGCCAGGCGTATTCATCTGGCATCGACCTTCGGTCGTCATTGAACAACTTGACAATGCATAAACATGCACGACTCACTCCTTCCCAAGACTAAGGGACACGGAACCACAAGCCACAATGTACCCATTGGTAGGATCAATAATCCCTTGCTTGATGAAAGGGGGCGATGTCCCATTCAAAGGGGCTGGGATCTGGTTTTAAGCTTGCCCAAGCCTGGAAGCCCATGACCCACCACAGCGGATCCATCCGTCCATCTCTTGCTGGTTCTTCCCCCCCCCCCCCCCGTTTTCCCTTTCGGGCAGATTTCTGTCAAACGCCCCAAGCCGAAGGGCGCGGAGTTCATCCACCTGGAGGGCCGATTTTACGCGGCGGACCCCCGGGTGGAGCTGTTGGCCAATACTTTCGCCTCTCCAGTGGTGACCCGGACGGGCGGCTGGAAAGGCTTTGCTGCTGGTACAGGACCCGGCCCCTTTGTTTAGATGAAGCCGGAAAGCCGAGACCCAGTCAACTCGGAGACCCGTTCAAAAGGTTCCAGTGAATTCGAGTTCCGATCGTTAAACCCCAAAGGACAATCATGTGTGTTTTCGCATCCATTCAACGGGTCACACCAATGTCGGAGGAATTCACTTCTTTGGGCTGTGGGCCCCAATAGACATCCGCAGTTTTCCTGCTGGTTCTCAGGGAAAAAAGGGACATGACCCCCCGAGGTTTCCCTACTGAGAACTAGCAAGTTGAGGCAAAGTTGCCAAAACCAAGCATTGGCCTGGAACAGAAATTCCGAGCTCCTGTGACTGGGAATCCTTCCGTTTTGAAAGAGTTCTCATGTGGCAAACGGGAACGCCCTTGGGGTTTTGAAGGGAAACCAAAGGTTAACAGCTTCCCATTTTGGTATATTTGAGTTCCCGACATCTCTCAATTTAAAGACAGGGTGCCGCAGATTATGACAATGTCCAAACCAGACGGGCAACAAATATGGTCCTTTTGTCTTCCTTTTCCAGCCCAATTGGCCCCCCAACTGGTGCCAGAAAATTGGGTCTCGGCCCTCTCCATACAGCTCTGTGGCTGAAAGTATGTCTCCGCCCATCGAAGCGTTTGGTCTTTCCGAATTTCGAAAGGTAAAATGCAACAGGAGTTTGGTTGCCATTTGCAGCCAACAGGTTGTTCAAGGCTGTCCAGCCCATGGCTGCGAAAAAAATAGCAGACATGCCCATACCGAAACAGCTTGGTGCAGAAACTGCTTTGTGAAGATCGCTGTCCTGCCCTGGGCACGTGTGTTCTTGCTTTGTCAAAGCTGGCAAGCGCCCCCCCTTTTGGCGGGTTTTCTGGTGGTTTCCATGTAGGATCTGTGCTTCAAGGGCATAGATTTCAGAATGAACACGTCATCCGATGCTGGCGGGTTCTGGCACCTTTTAAGGAGTCCGGATCACTTTTGTGGGTTGCACCCTAGGATGGGCTGAACAAAATCCGTGGCATGAGCTCGCAGCCCACCAAAGAACCTCCTACCAGCTACTAAGGCCTTCCTAGAGCAATCGAGAAACACTGTTAGCGACGGGGAATCTTTGCCGTGAGCCAGCAGAGTTTCCCAGGCGAAGCTTTGTACACCGGTGACCTTCATCAACGAGAAAGGCGTGGATCATTTGTCTTGGCAAGGGCTTTCTCTGATCTTGACGGGGAGGGGGTCCTTCAGCTGCCCTCTCGACATGTGGTGTCCTTTAGCGTATCTGATTGGATAAATTGCATCTTTGAACATGCCTTGGTCCTCAGGCTTTGAGACCGGGGGAAACCGTTGGATGAACCCCCAGCCCGGTGACATGCGTACTCTATGGCCAGCTCGCTCCGGCACTTGGGGATCCCGTATTTCACGGCCCGGTTTTGGACACGTTGTAAATGCATGCAGGTAGGTTATTGTTGCAACAAGGTGCAAGAAGGACCACCTGGTTCCTGCCGGTTGTGTCACATACACCTGCAGGACATGTCTCTCACACCCCTTTTCTGGGATTGTTCAAACTTCCCTGTAGCTTGTTTGATAGAAACTGACATAAACGTCACATCTCTGTCAGCGTGGTCCTGTCGTTTGTTTGTTTGTTTGTTTGTTTGCTTGCTTGTTTGTTTGTTTGTTTGTTTGTTTGTTAGACCCCCTCCAAAAAAACACCTAATGCGCTAGTTGTTTTTAGGCTTAGGCCCAAATGAGAACCAGCCAGGTCAAACACAGTCTCACGTTTAAGAAGCTCCATCTCATCTTCCCATACTATTAGACCAATCAATTTATACTCTTCTTTTTAAGCAAAACATAAACCAATACTGTAAGTACGTGTACATATATATATATATACATATATATATATATATACATATATTATCCCCCCTTCGCCCAGATCCGCCGCTGAGGTGTCTGCCTCTGTGTTTTTCTCTCTGCTTCCAGAATTGGACCGGGCTTTTCCTTTCAAGATGCCAAACAGCACTCAGTCCACTTCAAAGCTGCTGCCTTCTTGGACGGTAGACTCTTCCTTTGACAGCTCCATCTAACTCTTCCTTTGACAGCTCCATCTAAAGGGCATTCAACTTAGATGCTTTTGTCTGCAAATCTGACTGGTAGACTTTTCCTTAAGCCTTACAGCAAATGTCGCCAGGAGGAGATGTCCCTAATTTGCAGCTTCCTGAAAGCTGACAATTCGGGACCCCTCAGTGTTTTCAGCGCCTGGCAACACAACATGTTGAGGGGTCCCCAATTTTCAACTGCCTGAAACGTGAAAACGAGGGACTTTTCAGTGCTTTTAGCACCTGGCAGCACAACATCAGCTGCTTGAAAGCAGCACACAGGGACAGTACCACCGTGTTTTTGGGTTCTTGCATTCAAACAGTGCCGTACTGGAAGACACAAAATCATTTTTTTGTTTGTTAGGAACAGTAGGAGGAACAGTACAGCACTTTTTGAATGCAAGGGCCCAAACATAGGGACAGTATGGCACTTTTGACTTCCTGGTCTTCAAAAGTGCTGTCCTGTCCCCATATCTTGAGTTCAGAAGGGAATTAATGTAGGGACAGCTCCGCACTTTTGCACGGATTGGCGGCGCCTCTGTTGGGCCATAGGCAATGTGCAGGGGTTAACTCCTAGGCCAAAGCCCAAAAATGCTAATTTGCTTGGGGCTGGTCTCTCAGAGCATGTTCATACCAAAGAACAACAAACCCTTGCCCTATCCCTTGCTCGTACAACACCCCAGGGAAGACCCGGCGCTGCACTCGCTCGAAATTGACAGGCTGCCTGTCGCCCCCGCTGCCAGCGGATCAGCCCAAGACTGCGGGGCTCACCGCGGAGGACGGATGGAATCGGAGGTTCTTTGGTTCACCTGGATTGGCAAAACATGGGCGTCCGTTTTCTTCAAAACCAGCGGAGGCAAGTTCCAAAAATAGGAGCCACAAACTGAATTTCAATAGGGAACCTCCCTGAAAGTGGTTGGTGGCAAAATCCCTAGGATGACGACCAAAGCGTCCCCCGTCAAAATTCCATCCCATATGAACAATTGTCAATTTTGCTGGTGGACTGCTGAGGAGGACAGGGGGTCCACTCCTATGTTTCTTGGCGAATTTAGGTAATTCAGTCCGCGGCTCATATCTGGCCTTTTTGGTCCGTTTGACATGCGGGACATGGGGAAGTGATCGAAACTTCCTGCCTAGCAGATTTGGACCCAAACATGACAACATGGGGCAAGAATGATCTGGTCTGGTCTGGTCCACTTGGGTTTCGGGTTCGGGAAATCGGAAGTCTCTAAATCTCAACCGCAAAAGCAGTGCGGGGGGGCACTGGTGGGGGAAATATCGTGCGTGCTGCAAGTACACTCTCCTTGCACTCCTCTTGTTGTGGAAAGGCCAGTTGAAGTGTTGGAACTAATTCATGCTTGGGACCTGTAAACTGCCCCGTTCCTCAGCATTTCTAACTATTCATTTGGTCCACAGACTGCTTTGGTGGGAAGGGACATATCTTTTTGAGGTACCCCTTGGCTGCTAGTAAGAACTGAAAATCCATTCGGGGTTTTCCCAACATCTCGGAATGTAGCTCTTTGCCTGCCAACAACTAGGTTCCCTGGCAGGGTTGAAGGCTCACCCAAACTCCTTACTGGTGGCCACCCTCAGAAGGTCAGAAGGTCAGACGACAGGTACCGGCCAAAATGGACGTGCACTCACCCTTACAAGTAGTTCCATTCGGAGGGGAGCAGCAACATTAAAGAGACCCTGTTGGGCCGACTTCGAACATGTTTCAACCCCATTTCGCGGGTTTTTGGAGGTCCACCTCCTGAGTGAAACCCCCGCTGGCTTCATCAGCAAGACGGGCACGCTCCCGAACTTCGCCTTCCTCGACACGCCGGGGACTCGGACTCACTCGGACTTGACCTGAGAGAATCGACCCGGCCGGGGGGTTTCGAGGTGGGGTGTGCACCATGGGAGCTGAACCCGAGGGGTTAAAGGCGTTCGAACGCCTTTTGGGTCCTTATTTACCTGTTCTTTTCGAGATCAATTGGTCCCTTAAAGATCACCTGCATTTGGTGTTAAAACAAGAGTAGTGGCGTTTGGGCACCGGATATCAAAGGTGGCAGATGTGAGGTGGCCGTTTTTTGTTTTTTTGGGACCCTGAAATGGAACCCTCGGGTTCGAAGGTTCTCCTTTGCACCGATTCCCTTTTCGAGGTGGGAATAATAAAGGTTCTGAACGAGCTCACCCATGTGAAGAGTGCTTGCCTAGGGATTCCGTATTTCCAGTTTGCAATCTATACTAATTTGCGCAGATTTAGTTCTTCGCAAAGTGCATGTGCCTTTGCTCTGGGATTCCTTGTTTTTGCCACCTTGTGATCGAAAGCACTTTGATACGGATCCCCGAAGTTTGCCCAGAGTGTACCCTCCCCGAAACAACAATGAACTCCTATTTCAGGTTCAGTGATTTGTCGAGGTACCACTTTGAAACTCAGGTTGCAAACACTCTGGTGATTTGGATCGCTGGATGTGCCAACCTTCGCATTTTGGAGAAACAACCAGTTTCTGCTTACGGGGTCGACATTGGGTGACAGACTCAAGGGGAGTTTCCTGACGGGACTTGCTTGGGAGGAGAGTTCGATTTGAGAGGGATACCGGATCCTTCTGCCCCCCCCAACAAAAATGTGATTGGGCGAGTAAAAAAGCCAACTTTAACAGCTGGTTTTTGGATGTAGTATCTTCGACAGTTCTATAAGCGTCTGAATAATCAGAATGGGGTTAAGGGGTACTAAGCCAAATTACCTCATGAGGCATATGTGTGTGATTATTTGGCCCCCTCTACAGTTTCCCCCTACCGAAGATCCCCGGGTTTTGACTGTTCGGGTCACACCATGGGGTACGTGTGGGAGTCTGACCCCCCAAACTGGTCTTCGGTTTCGAACCCCACAGCCAGGCAGATCAACTACGCCTCCAGCAGCAGCAGCTGGCGTTCGGAGCTGCCCAAGGACAAGTTCGCCATCCAATGGCGACGCGGCGGTGTGAAGGGCTGGGCCTTGGGAGGTCTAAGTGCCGGGTGACCGGAAACCGAGGCCACCGGAAACCGGAAACCGAGGCCAGCCATGGCCGGCCCCTGAGGTTCTGATTGTCGCCACGTTCCCAGTCTCCCGCGATTCACAGTCAGAGGCCGGTTGTGATCGTGTTGGGCACCCGCTGAATGGGAAATGAACATGGGGGATTTGGACCCCATGCGTTTCGAAGCCTTAAAAGCACGAAACAACACACTGCCCCAGATCGGTTTCAAGAAATGGGTTCCTTTCAGATACTAACCAGTCTGTAGTCAATTTGAGGGACATGGGGCACCAGCTCCAAAAAACATCCTATAGGACCCACCCAGCTTTCTGCTTCTTTGCCGAGCTCCTACGTTTGTTTTTTGTGCGCAAGTGGGAGGGGGCTGAGCCGAAAAGGAACTCGCCCCCCCAATACGCCTTAGTCGCTCTACCCCCAATTGGGATTTGCTGCCCCTTTGACGATGGGAAGGGGGGGAAACGAGCCTGGTTTTCCAGTTTACCCCCTGATTGGTGACTATGGGCATTCATTTTCATTGGGCACCCGTTGGGCATCATGTCTTTTTGGGGGATTTATGTCCACGAAGGTATTTGGGAGGCTGATGCCCCATGGACATAGCTACATGCCTCTCGTTGAGGCGGGGCACCTTGAAGATCCAGACCGCGGGGCTGTACACCTTCTTTCTCACATCGGACGATGGGAGCCGTTTGGAGCTCGACGGAGTGGAGGTGGTGTTGAATGGGGGCTTCCACGGCATGGAGGAGCGGATCTTCGCGAATTTTCGACTTGTTACGTGGTCTAGCGTCCATTAAATGCCAGCAGCATTGTGGAATATTGGTTGTCGCCCCCGTTTTCTGTGAACAGCCCAACAGAACCCCCTTCAGAGTGACTTGACATTGTACTGTGGATGGAGAAAAACCTGCACCGGTGGGTTGGTGGTTTATTCCAGTATTCATTGGGTTTCATCCATCTCATTTGGTGCAGGATTTTGTCCATCCGCAGTAGGGATGAGGATCAACCGCTACGGAATCCCAGAGCCATGAGGAGAAATCTGGGCAGGTGAACCTCACGCAAGGAGGACGGGACGGGGAGCGTTGCCCAGGGTTGACAAGACTTGTTTCAGCGCCGGCTGTATCTTTTTTGTTTGGGAGGATGTAGAAGGGGGGGGTGAGCAACAATGCGAGTCTAAGCAACTAGTCCGTGGGCCAACACTTGGAGGGACACTAAAAGGGAGGCGGTTTGAGGGACACTAAGTTGAAAAGGTTAAAAGCCAGGCAGCAGCAATTGATGGGTTCTGGGCACGATCTGCTTGTGGGAAGGCGCGCAAAACATGGTGGACAACACAAAAGTGGGGATGGGCCGATCTCCCGCATCGGAGATTGCTCACAATGGCCATGTTGAATCTCACTTTCATGGCTCAGAGTTGAAGCGCCTAGATGAGAATGGGGCGCACTTCAAGGCCAAATTCAGCCATCCTAGACCCCTCATACAAGGTTCGGGTCAAAGTTTCCAATAGAAGCCTACGGTCCATTTGGGGGGACATGAGGGAACTCACTGAACAATTTCACCACACAAATCGGGGGACTCACTTCTTTTCCCATGTTTTTTTGTTAGTTAAGAAGTAATTCTGATGCCTCGCATCATCTTTTGGTCGAACCCTTAGACTCCTGTTTTCGCAGGCCACACCTTGCTGGTGGAGTTTTATGAGGGAGGAGGAGGCCGGCTCCGGGGACCGATTCGGAGTTGAACGTCTCGGTGGAAAATCCGGTTTCGGCACATCTTTCTCACGGGCCCAGGTCTTTTGGAGTAACCCCCCCCTTTTCCCCCGCCCTTTTCTTTCTGCGGCAAGATCCTCCTAACTCCGGCCGAGTTGGGTTTGGTTTGCGGAACATGTTTGGGGCCGCTCTGGCAACCCGGTAGCCATGATTTGGGGTGGGCGGCATGTTTTCGGGTCAAGTCGCCTCTGTGTGGCTTGGACGCTGCCCTTCATATCCAGGTGCAAGGACATGAAATAGTTCGAATGAAGACTTTCGTCGGGTTGAGGGCCCAATTTGGGTCCTCCGATTTGCTTTTTCGGTTGTCCACTTTTGCTTGGTGAGGGAGAACGGAAACCATTGGACACCATTTTTGTGGGCACAGTTGTCTAGCAAGTGTCCTTCGGCCCTATTCAACGTATATGAACAGGTCGGCGCCGTTCGGGGTACTCACGCTTACTTAGACCCTCAAGCCAATGGTTGGCTTTGCTTAAACGAACAATGGAGGGGAACTTTCGAACGGCATTTTGGAGAAGCATGTTTTTTTCTTCATTTTAAATAAGGAGAAAGCGCGGGCCATTTTGTCCTCGTTTCATTTCAGGCCTTTGAAACGCAGCCGCTTTCCCGCTAATGGACCCCTCCGGGGTCCCCAAGCGCAGGCGCCGGCATCATCTTCTACTGGCAGGCGAGAGACTCCCCGAGAGATGCTCAGGGGACAAGCAGAGCATGGCTTTGGAAAACCCGAGGTGGTTCGGTTCCTGGAAGTTTTTGTTTTTTTGGTCGTATTCTTTTTTGCCAAGGCCGTGTATGTCCCCGAGGTGGGTTGTAAACATGGTCTCACTACAACCATGTAGGGATTCGTCCCGAATCAGCTAAGTAGACGATGTTCTACGAGTGCTGTGGTGTTTACGACAATTCACTGGCGAAGTCCGAGTCCGTGGATTCGAGTCTTTGAGCCATGGGCTTTTCAGCCAGTCAAAGCATGACTTCTTTGGGGATACTTCTCTGAGAGAGCCATCACCGGTTTGCACACTTGTTCAGGTTTGGCAAAACGGCTTAGGGAACCCGGCCCAGGGGATGCTTCTCTGCGCCTTCAACTGGTAGAAAAGCAGGTTGGACAGACCGAACACTGGTGTGAGTTGCGGGAACAGGGTCCCCTCCGGCTCTGCCAAGGCAATATTTAAGATCACCCACCTCCTAAATCGGTTTGCTTTGGTTTTCTTTACCAGCGGCCAATTTTCTATCCTGCCGGGAGCAACCCAGTTTCCACAAAGGGGACTTCGCGGACCCCACAGGGAAACGGTTGGTTGTCTACAGGAAAGGGTCCCCTCGGATTACCTTTTGATCTGATCGAAAGCAAGACCCGTACCTTTCAAGGGATCCGCTATTTTTCAAGGGTCACAGGGCACCCACTCACAGTGCAGCCGCTGCTTTTCTACAGAGGCCTAGCACACGGGGGACTCTTCAATTAACATCTCAAGGGTTGGGGGAAATCCAGGTATTGGCCAGCTTTTGTGATGCTACAGCGGCTTTTTAGTGACAGTAGTCATAGAGATGGCCCTCCTTGGTATCACAGAAAAGAAATCCAGAACCCACAGACATGATCATAGCCATAGCCCACCAACCAGATACTGGATGAAGCCCTATGAAACTCGGGCTAAACCTCCAATCCCAACTGACACGTTCTGTTTTTTTGTTTTTGTTTTTGGTAACCATCTACGTGAGGGTTGTTGGTGATGGTATTCCTGGCTGTGGTTGTGCTATTGTGGGTGGCTATGTTTGCGTATGGGTTGGTTTTGTGGGTGGTGGTTGTGGGTGGCTATGTGTGGGAATGGGTTATGTTTGGTGGTTTTCCTGGTGGGCACCCCCCCGGGAATTCTCATCTCGGTCGGATCCGTCGGATGAGCGCCGCCCAGGGCCCTGACTCCAACGACGCCAAGGAGGTGGTGCCTCCTGAGGTTTTTGAGACCACGCCCCCGAAGGCGTCCGTTTTTTGTTGTTGTTTGGTTTGGGAGGAGCCGGATTCTTCAGATTTCCCCCCTGTTGGTGGTTGGAAACATCGCCTTGTTGGCCATTTATCAGTTTACGGTGAGCTTCCCTTGGCAGTAGGGGTGTTGGGGGGGCATTTCTTTTGGGGGTAATCTTCTGGGGGCCGTGAACACTTCGCGCGTATTTTGCAACCGTGACAAAAAGCAAGACAGCCCGCCGAAGTTAGGGCCGGCAAAGACAAACCCAGTGCTTGACACGCTTCTCAAGCGAATCCTACCTCAAAGACAAAATTGGGACTCCAAGCTGAGCTTCTCTTCCAAAACGGGTGGGGTTGTGGTCATTACCTCTTACTCCCCCTTTATGCTGAATAATTGGAACGAAGTCCCGGGACACCACAAAGGAGGCAGGGCCAAGCTGGAATGGCCGCTTAACCACGAAAATTAATCAGTTTGATGGTTTATTGTGTTTGAAAGCGGCCAACCCGAAATCTGTGATACCAATGTGACAACTTTGTCATGGAGGGATGGAGGGGATTCTTCAAGGGAATTACAGAAGATGGCGACCTAACCCCCCACCCCCATTTGCTGCAGCCATGCACTCCAAATCACCAATCTATAAGTGCCAAACCATCGAAAAATCCGCCAAACTGCTGGTTTTATCAAACATCATCAACAAGCAAATAGGGGTAACCTGGTTGAAGCCCTTGCATGTCGCGACGGAGGTCATGGAGTGCCCGACGTGCGGGTCCCCCGGGGAGGTGGCCAACATGCCGGAGCTGGGCCATCACTTCAGGCGGGCGCCATTGGGCGAAAGGTAGCCCTTTTGGAGGTTTCAAAGGGAGCCGAAACGGACCTAGGGTTTGTCTTTTGTTGAAACTCGGTGCCCCTTTGGGAGGGTCCACCAATGGTCCCATGGTGGGTTTCCCTCATTGAAACAATTGTATGTCTTTTGAGGGCACCCCCCTTTTGCAGGGGTTTAAAGGGACACCAAAGGACACTTGTGTCATGTTTCGGTGCTCAATTCGTATCACACCCGGGAAGCCAAGGGAGCGACCCAGGAAACTGGCAAGCTGGGTGAGCAGCGACCAGCATGGAGCAAGGAACATGGACACATGGTTGCAACTAGGGTTCATTCCGATTCGGTCAGTGGTGTGACCGATCTTCTTTGTGCCCCTTAGACCTCGTCTTCAAAAGGCAAATTTCAGCTCACACTACTGGAGCCACCGAAGATTGGGGGGCTCGCCAAAACACGATCTTGGTGGCCTTCCAGACATGGCAGTGCACAGACCCCTTTCCAAAAAAGAAGTTGAGGACTTTCAAAAGGGGGGCCATGCGGATCAAAAGCTTGTGGCTCTTGGGACTTTGCTCCTTTGTTCAAGCCCCGTGGAAGACACCTCCCCAAAAACAAGGGATGGCTTGGGGGTTTGGGACGGTCCAAAGAAGCCAACCTCTCGGAGTTCTAAGCAACCTCAGGTGGTTTTTCCTGAAATATGGGCGGCTTTTGTTGTTGGTACCTTTGTTTTTGGGTAGTTTTGAAGGGGAGCAAAAGGCAAACCACCAATTTGGAGAATCCCCTAAATTAAGGCACACCCCTATATATGCGCACACCTCCCCCCCAAAAACCAATGGCGAGTTTTCCTGTGTGGCAATAGCGACAACCGAAAAGGCTCAGAGGCGCGATCAAGGTAGGGTCTCCCAACACCGAATCCGGAGCCATTTTCTTTTTTTTGAGGATGGCTATGACTTCTGTAACTGCGGGGTGTTTTTTTTCTGGTTTCCTGCATGGGTTGCAGCAAGGGCCTCTGAAAACGCGAAATCCCCAAAGTTCTGGGCCCCAGCTCAGGTGAATTACAAACAGGGAGCTTCTGGGCACGTTGAGGTAGGTTCCTCTCGGCATTCGAATGGACGGTTCATGGCCATGGGCGGCCTTTTGGCCAAATAGATGGCCCTGGTCAATGGGATAAAAACCCAATCTCAACCAGCGCCGTCTATTTTTAGCCAAACTAACCTAAAAAGGACACTTATGTTCATGGCCCCTTGTTTTTGAGTGAATTGCACCACTTTTCAGGGGTCACGGAGACTGCATGCACATGTAAGGGGAATATGCCCCTCCTCTCCCTCGGCAAAGGTGGCATTTTCATCCACAGGGTTGCTCTGAACCTCGAAATGACCAAACCACGAGGCTCCACTTGTTTTGGGTTCTCTTGTGTTTCTTTTCAGCGGCCACATTTCTATCCTTGTGACAGTCTTTGGATCACTAGACATCGCTTTCTCATTGTGGAGGAACCCAACCGATCTCAGGGATGCCCATTTTTGGAAGCAACGATATCATAAATCCGGCTCACCAAATCTCAACCTCAAACTCACAGAAAAATGACAAGGGAGAATCCCTTTTTCAACCAGACAAAGCTCAACAAGTGATACTTAGTGTTTGGAACATGATCTTTTGGAATGGTGATATTGGATTCGAGGGGGACACACAAATGGAGCCGGCCATGTTTCCCGCGGCCTTGCGCCGAGCGCATGCGGCAGGTTTTACACCACGCGGGATGACGCGGACAACGACTTGGACAGCCACTTCTTCGACCGCTTCGATACCAAACTCTCCAAGTCCACCGTGTGGACCGCCAAGGCGATGCGGCGACGCGACGATGTGGTTCAACCAGTTTCAGGTTCTTGATGGATACGAAAGTGCGGTTGTCGAAAGAATGTGCCATGGTCAAAAGATCAGAACCTCGATCAAACGTGGCCGGCACAACCGCTTTCGGAGCCGTGTTCGAATTACTGGAGCTTAGCTCCCTGTTTGTAGTTTGAGGCTAGTATCACCAGAGGGTGCTAGTCTCTGATCGTCAAGCCGCAATGTCAAAAGATCTCTTTACTTGGGGTTGACCGAGAGGTCATCCACTTGGTAGTGACGATCCTTATCAACCCCTATTCAAGGGAACCACTACCATAGGCCATGGCCACCATTTTGTTTTTTTGAGAACTCGCAATCTGAACAGAATCAGAGCATCAACATTTCTCACGATGGCTCATGATACTTAAACTCAATCTTCCAGGAGTCTCCATGACCCCTGGAGTGTTCCTTCACCTATCCTGCTCCCTGGCTTTGTTCTCCTTATGGTGTCCAAACGACAACAACAATGACGACGACAACGACAACAACAGCAGCAGCAACAACAACCACCACCACCACCACCACCAC